GGGATTGCAGCTGAGTCTGGGGTGGGGGCACTGGGGGAGAGGAGGTCCGTGGGGGGCGTAGCGTAGAGGCATCTGGGAGCCCCCCGGTGCTGGGGGGGCGTGGGGCCCAGTGGATCAGAGCAGGGGAGTCTAGGAGCCCGGCTGCCTGGGTTTGGTCCCCAGCTCGGGCATGCGAATAGGGTGGAGAGCTGGGATGCCGGGCACGTGGATGTCTGGGACCTCTGTCGGCTCTGGGAGGGGAGTGGGAGGAGGGGAGAAACAGCCCTGATCTGGGCCTGGTCCTGCGGGGCTCTAGCTCAGGCTGCCCCCCCAGCTCTTGACCTGTTCCCACCCCCAGGCGCGGATCAAGAAGATCATGCAGACGGACGAGGAGATCGGGAAGGTGGCGGCTGCTGTCCCCGTCATCATCTGTATCCTTGGCAACGCCCGGACGCCTGCCTGGGTTCTCTCCGGCTCTGGGAGGGGAGCGGGGGCTGAGGGACCGGGCTCCGGGAGCCCGGATGCCTGGCTTCTCTTGGACTCGGGGAGGGCAGTAGGGGCCGGAGCCCGGACACCTGGGGTCTCTCCCTTAACCCCCGCCTTGCCACAGCCCGGGCACTGGAGCTGTTCCTGGAGTCGCTGCTCAGGAAGGCCTGTCAAGTGACGCAGTCCAGGAACGCCAAGACCATGACCACGTCCCACCTGTGAGTGCTGCGGGTCCCGTCCCCTGGGCACCTGGGTCCTCTGCCCGCTCCAGGAGGGGACTGGGGTCTAGGGGATTAGAACAAGGGGTGGGAGGGATCTGGGCTCTCTCCCTGCTCTGGAAGGGGAGTGGGCTGGGGGTGAAAGCGGGGGGGCTAGGAGCCCGCATCCCTGGGTTTCCTCCAGCTCGGGGAGGGGTGGGTTCCAGGGCAACGTTTCTCAAGCTGGGGGTTACGACCCAGAAGTGGGTCGCAAGAACATATGAAAGAACAAACTTGAAAAGTGAATTCTCCTGTAATGGAGAAAAATGTGGGCACCGCGGCTCTTCCCTCGCAGGCGGGCAGAGCCCCAGCCTGTGAGGGGCTACTTGGGCCCTCTGCCCCACACACTGGGGGCCGGGGCGTGGGGGAGCGGGTTGGGGCTGGCCGTTGAAGTGTAGAAATGGGTCCTGGTACAAAAAAGGCTGAGAACGGCTGTGCTGAGGGGTTAGAGCAAGGGGCGGGAGGGGTCTGGGAGCTCTCCCCCTGCCTCACCGTGTCCCCTCTGGACAGTCCCAACCTGGCTTCTGTGCCTCAGTTTCCCCACTTTCAATCAACATGGGCTGGAGGGGCCAGGCAGGGGCTGTGAATCTCCCTGGCAGGGGGAAGTATCCTGCTGGGGGCTGTGGGAGACCTTGGGGATGTGATGGGTTGGGGGGAGGGGTGGGTTGTGGCTTGGCCCTGCCCCCTCTGACCCCCTGCCCCTCCCCCTCCAGGAAGCAGTGCATTGAGCTGGAGCAGCAGTTTGACTTCCTCAAGGACCTGGTGGCCTCCGTGCCCGACATGCAGGGGGACGCTGAGGACAACCACATGGAGGGCGAGCGGGTCTCCCGCAGGTGGGGGCCAGTGCAGGGCAGGGCCAGCAGGGAGTGCTGGGTAGTGAGGGGGTGGAGCCAGGTCTGGGGGGGCAGGGCTAGCAGGAGAGGCTGGGCTGCAGGGGTGGAGCCAGCTCAGGAGGGGCGGAGCCAGGAGGGGGTGCTGGGTGTAAGGGGTGGAGGTAGTGGGGGGGAATGGGCTGTGGGGGTGGAGCCAATGAGGAGGGGTGCTTTAGCTCCACCAGCCCTTGTTGTCCCTGGAAAGCTAAGCAGGGTTGAAGAGGGTCTGTGTGTGGATGGGAGACCAGCACTGCCCCTGCTCGGGGACACTTTCCCCATCCAGCACCTGACACCCCTTGGAAGCTAAGCAGGATCAGCTGGGATCACTATGTGGCTGGGAGACTGTGGGTGCCAGTGCCCTGGCAGAAGGGGGTGCTGCAGGGGGGCTCTCCCCTTTTAGGCCCCAATGCCCTGGGTGGGGGGTTCATCTGGGCTACCAGGGGCTCCATTGCCCCAAATGCTGAGCCCTGCCATGCTGCACCCCAGAGGTGGTTGCAATTTGACTGCACCTACTGGGATTCAACCTGTGGGGGGGGCTCGGCAAGGGACTCTGATGCCTGGTGGGTCTGTGCAGGGGCCGGAAGCCGGGCAGCGGGAGGAAGAACGGCGGGACAGGGGCCAAGGGCAAGGACCCTAAGCAGTCGGGCACTGACTCGGAGCAAGAGGTGAGGCAAGGGTGGCCAGGCTGGGGAACCTCCTGGGCACCAGGATGAGGGCAGTGGGAGCCAGGGGGCAAGCCTGGGAGCCCAGACACCTGGGTTCACTCCAGCTGTGAGAGGGGGGTGAGAGCAGGGGGGATGGGCTCCCAGACACCTGGGTTCCCCGCACCTCTCTCACACCCGTGCTGCGTCCCTGGGGATGAGTCCCTGCCCTGCCTTGGCCCTCGGCGCACCCAGCTCGGGGGAGCGCCACCCCCCCAGATGTGTGCCCGGGGGGTGGGGGGCAGGCTCCCCGTGATCTGCCCATCTCCCTCTAGGAGGACTCAGAGGACAGCGAGAGCGACGCTGAGGAGGAGACGTTGCAGACGCCGCCCCCCAGCCGCCCCCCCGCCACGTTCCCCAGGTACCGACCTGGAGCCTGGATTCTCTCCAGGCGTGGCATGGTGGGGGGGGCAGGTGCTGGGAGCCAGGATACCTGGGGTCTCTTCAGCTGGCGGGGGCTGGGGTGTTGGATGTCCAGATGCCTGGGTTCTCTCCCCTTCTCTGTGTGGGGGGAGGCTGGGGGTGGGCCTAGGACTGGCCTATCTGCCCCCATCCTTTTTCTCTCCCCATCCCCGCAGCTCACCAGCACCGTACCTGCCCTTCGCGCCCGCTGCGCCTCCCGGGATGACCATGGGCCTGGCTGTGCCTGCAGCCCTGCCCACCATGACGCCGCCAGCGCCCCTGCCCCCTGCCCCCACCCAGGACGAAGAAGAAGACTACGACTCGTAGCCCCCCGGGGTCCCTTTTAGATGCTGCATTGGGGGGAGGGGGGCAAGCGGATCTTGCGTGTAATTATGGAGTCGGATTCCCCCCTTCCCTCCCTATGGCTGATCATTTTAGGGGTTCCCTGGGGGGTTGAACCCCCCAGATCTCAGAGCCTGGGTTACCCTGTTCTTCCCCGCTCCCCGCCATTTGACACCAGCCCAGCCCAGAGCTTGTCCCCAGTCTTGCATCTTGGGGGTCCCCCCCTCAGGTCACGGTGGCTGGAAGCAGCTGCTTCTCTCCAGAGCCTGGGGAAGGGGGGTGAGAATAGGAGGGGCTCTCTCCTAGACAGAAGTGGGGGTGGGGGGCAACCAGGGGCTGTGGGGTAGTAGACAAAGACCCCTTTTCCAGGGCAGGGAGGGCATGGAGTGGGTCCCCTCAGACTCCCCACCCTGTGCATTGTGGGTGGGGGCCAGGCAGGACCCCTTGTAGAAAGAGCCCCCT